TAGCAACTATACTTTTGGATAGTTTTTTTCTTGATCAACTAGGAGCATGTGGAGTGGAATTTAAATCCCAGACAACAATGGATTGAAAAGTCAAACAAGGAGACAGTGAAGTTAGTGCAGCTTATTTATAGTCTTTTTCAATGTTTTAGGGTGAACATCAGGTAAGCTGTAGCACATAATTCATTATGCTGCATCGTGTCTATAATTATATTATTCATCAATATCTGAAAGTTGAAGTTTTAATTAACGTTGCATATGTCTTGTAGATTGAAGGAACTAATATTGATTTAGTTCAATTATTTTTAAATACTTCTCATTATCTGCTAATTACTTTATGTTAGACATTGTGATTTAAAGTTGATGCATGAAAGTAATCCAACTGCAGCTGATTGACCCAGTGGACAAAACAGCGGATCGTGATCTTGCACTTGTTAAGGAACTGGGTTTGAAGCTTATATATGCTATAAACACACATGTACATGCTGATCATGTCACTGGCTCTGGCTTGATCAAGGTTGGGCTTAAACTTCTTAAATTTGGTAACTAATTAGTTCATTTGTAAATGATAATTTGCTTGATACTGCTTTTCCATTTCTCCAGCTGATTTTATAAAGGTTCATTATAATTTTCAATCTCGCAGACAAAGTTCCCTGGTGTGAAATCAATCATATCAAAAGCAAGCAATGCAAAAGCTGATCTTTTTGTTGAACCTGGTGATAAGATCTACTTTGGTGATATTTTCCTGGAGGTATAGATGTCTGAAGTGTTTTAACTTTAGATTTTTCCATATAGCTTTAGTGGTAGAAAATTATGTCGATGATTATGGTTCTATAGTATTTCCTTTGCAAGGAAAAGTTAGTTCAACGTTAGGAAAATCACCTTGTTCTAAATGTTTGAACCATGTTCCAAATGTCTGAACATTTATATGTACTACAAAAACATTTATGGGGTTGTGCCTAACGGTTCTTGAAAATTATGTAAATGATTACGGTTCTATAGTATTTCCTTTGCAAGGAAAAGTTAGTTCAACGTTAGGAAAATCACCATGTTCTAAATGTCTGAACATTTATATGTACTACAAAAACATTTATGGGGCTTTGCTTAACGGTTCTTAAACAACTTGCAAATTCAGGATCATTTTACCTTTGCTTATTGTGCTCTAGTCATCAATAATCATGGAGAACATGTGATTTTCTTTTGAGATAAGATGAGGTTGTTTGAATGCTCTTCGTTATTGTGGGCCTAGTTGTTATCACAATTAGATGTAGAATGAGCTTGATTTTTTTTCTTGTAATTACTTGATAGGTCCTTAATTGGGTTAGTCAGTTTTCTTGATAAGCATTAGTTCTTTAAATTCTTGGTTCTGTGAAAAGAAGATCTATGTTTAATATCACTAGGGTAACATGGAATTCGAGCATTATGGCAAATTTAATTTACTTAACTTTCATTTAATTTCATCTTTGAAATAATTAAGATGCTCAATTTCAATTTTCAACTCGTCGTACAAATTTCTTTGAGAGAAATATTTATGATCTTATTAGTTGAATCCTGTTTAGTCTTCAGTCACTGAAATGTATGGCTTAGTGACATGTCATCTCAATAAAGACGTCAATGACACAATTAAATGATTAATACATTTCCTTAAAACTTTCTTTGAACTGCACTTTTTTCTAGTTTATCTCAGCTTAAAACCATTCTATAACTGTCATTTTCTACCTCTCTAACACTTACAACATTGTTTTTCCCCGTTTCCGTGCTAGTCATATTGAACCAAATAGAATTGTATTAGATGAATGAGCCTGAAAAATCAACTAAACTAGGCTGTGGTGCAGGAACAGTGGGCTGGAAGTTACCTACATCTTTGAGCCGTTTTCTAATGTAATAGTGCTTCCATTGCAGGTTCGTGCAACTCCTGGTCATACACTTGGATGTGTTACCTATGTCACGGGAGATGGATCCAATCAACCTCAACCAAGGATGGCCTTTACTGGCGATGCCCTTTTGATACGTGGATGTGGAAGGACAGACTTTCAGGTATATCCTCTCTATGCAATATGCCATGCAACTTGCTGACTTTTAGTGGACCTTTGACTAAAGGGAAAAGTTTGATAATGCATACAACTCATTTATTCTCTGGTAAACTCTTAAGATTGCTTTTCTAGCTAACATTAGCTAAACAATGTGGTTAGATAGATAAGACTATTCTTTAACTAACTAAGGAGATTAAACTAGAAAATGATAGGATAATGTCAAATGTCATTGTTGAAAACATCATATTTGGATGCTCCCAAGGCCTAGCTCAAGTGGCAAAAGGTGGAGGATTTGTGGCTTAGGTCGCAGGTTCAAGCCCTACACCATGCAAAGCGAAGCCCGGTATTTAAGTGGAGAAGGGTAGAGGGGCGGGCCCATTATCCACCGAGTTTAGAAGGCTGTGATTGGTCCAAAGGGAGGTCACAGATGGATTTCTCGGTTATCAAAAAAAAAAAAAAAGCATCATATTTGGTCTTGATAATATCCATACCTGAGATGGTGGGACAAAGAAAGCTACAATCCATGCTTGTAGCATCCTTATCTTGGATGCCATCCATACATGATACTGAATTGAGAACAAATTATTTCAGGTGACAAATTTTCTCTTTCCAATTGACTATGGTCCACACTCTCTTATCTTTTATCCTTCTTTGAAATAATTATCCTTGTACATTCTGAAAGTAAAATTTATTTAACCAAACAGTATTTAAGTCTTCCAGGGATTGGGTCATAGGTTTGTGAACAGTATTAAGTCTTAATGCATCGGCTTTTCCTATTTTGCTTCTCTTCTTGTTTATCAAGGAATGACTTTATTTGTTTGGGTTTAGGGGTGGATATTGGGATATGAAAATTTTGTGCCTTATAATATCAATACTTTTCTTACTTTATGACAGGGTGGAAGTTCAGACAAATTGTATGATTCAGTTCATTCACAGGCAAGGACATAAAAACTGTTACGTATTTTTAACATGAAAGAGAAAAAACAGCATACTATGATGCCGAATGTTCCTTCTTTTCTTTCTGATTCATCAACTTTTTGTGAGAACAGATTTTCACATTGCCTAAAGACACATTGTTATATCCTGCTCACGACTACAAAGGGTTCACCGTAAGGATACATCCGTTAGTTGTTCACTATTAATTTGCATATTTCAGTTGCTTGTTTACAAGTGTATATATTTTATTTTCAGGTCAGCACAGTGGGAGAGGAAATGCTATACAATCCACGCCTATCAAAAGATAAGGTACTTTTCTGGCAAGAAGTTTTTACCCAAGTTTCAAGACTAGGCTAAATTTAGTCTATGTAGTTAAAAAGTGGAAACACTTGCAAAATCAACAGCCTACTTTAGTTGAACTCTGAAACGAAAAAGTTCCTTGTGTTTGCCGAATAGTAATTGACGAAAGCACATTTGACGATAGAGTTATTTTATTTTTCTTATTTGTTGTTCAAATTTAGAAATCTTGCTGTCATATGAAGACCTCTTTCTACAATCATTTCAGCTCTCCTTTGAAACTAGTTTAAGTTCTCATATTTTTTCTGAAACATTCTTTACAGGAAACATTCAAAAACATCATGCAGAGTAAGCCATTCTACCTCTTTGCTCTTTTCTTTGTAATTTTCTCATTGCTTGCTGATGATAGCATCTTCTATAACAGATTTGAATTTGTCATATCCAAAAATGATGGACGTCGCAGTTCCAGCTAACATGGTTTGTGGATTACAAGAGACAAAATCAGAAGCATGCTAAATTCTTCTTTCATGGTCACTACGAATGTAAATGGGAAGCAAGGTATACACGTTTGAAGCGAAAGTTAACGAAATAATGTTTAGCTGGAGAAGTTGAATAAGATATTCCACAATATAGTTTCAAAAAGCTATGTAGTTTTAATTGATGATAAGAATCTTGAATATATGTATGTAACTTGATTTCTGAGATGGCTGAGATGGGAATAATGAAAGTGAAATTTATCAGTTGCTGCATTTTCTGAATTATAGTAGCAATTCAGATCCAAGTTTATGCCTGAGTGTTATACTGTGTAGAACAATGAAAGGAGAATTTGTTCAGATAAAAAAGAAGAAAAATTACAACCTTAGCGGATTTGTGCCAGGAAGTCCCACATTTGGGGAAGCAAAGTGCTTCCTAATGTCGATTTTGTATCCATGGAAACTTGAGGACTCAAAATTGAAACATCTAACTAAAGACGAAGAAGTACTACTTGCAATCCTTGTTGCTTGTCATTGACTGCAGCTGCACTATGTTAAGTAGACTTTGGAGGACAAAAAACAACAGGTCCCAGTGTTCCCATGTTCTATGCCAAAACTGAAATAATTGTAGAAAGAGAATATGAGTCTTGACAACGAAGTATCAATAATTAGGTGAGAAATAAATAAGGACAAATTTTTAAATGAAAATTAAATAATTATAAAATGAGTAGAGAACCAATAAAAGATGAGAAATAGAAATTAGAAAATATCCAACTCTTATTTCATTTCAGTTATTTATGATTCTATAATTAGTATTATAGACTTTACAACTGAAAACTATGATCAAAACACTATCTTCATACTTTATCCTTCTTCTTGTATGATTATTATGTGACTTACATCCAACTAAACACTTCAAAATAGTTCAAAACATAGACTTCTGTTATTACCAGAGATAAATTCAGAATTTAAATTTGTAAACTTAAGTATTCTTAACACTAAATTCATTGTAATTTTGAGTTTAGATTTTATATTTTCAAAAATTATAGTTATTTTTTACACATATTTAAACTCAATATAAAAAATATTAAGATGAATTCATTAATTATGTGAATTATTTTTTAAACTATTAATAAATCTTGTTGTTTTTATTTACATGAATATCAATTAGTAAAATATTTACTTGCAACCAAAGTAAAAGTAATTGTTAAACAGTCTATGCATGCAAAATATCTTAGGGGCTAAGACAGCACTTGGGTGCTGATAATTAGTCAAAATGAAAAAAAAAATTCTGATTATTGAAATAATTGTTAGAGATTCAAATGATTTAGCAAACTAGTCAAACAAGAAAGTGAGGAGGCAAATATTATATTAGTTTCGTTTTAATTTGTTTATCTGATTTTTGATTTAATGCTGAGTGAAATGTTTCAAAATATCCATGGGATCTTGTGATTGAAATTAAAGATAGAAAAGTCATTTGCTTTTGCTTCTTGTGTAACAAAAATTTCAACTATTTTTAGTTGAAAACTCCAAATTTCAATTATGAGTGAAGAAGGCAAGGACAGACATTATCACCACCATGGCCACCATTATGGTCACCACCACCACCATTATGGTCACCACCATCACCACCATGAGGAGACCCAACCACCCCCACCATGGCTACCAACAGCACCACCAGTAGTAACTGAATATGGTACTTTTCAACCACCTCCTCAACCAGTAATCGGTTTTCCTCTGCCAGTTCCTCCACCTGGATCAGTACTTGAACCTTCTGAATACTATGCTCGTGTCTATCAGTCTGTTCCAGGTAACCCCTTTTGTTCTCATCTCAGAATTTATTAAGGATAGCTGGATTGATTAATTTTCTTGAAATGATTCAATTTATTTGATTCTGGGTGAAAAGTTTGCGGCTTTTTGCAATATTTAGTTGAAAATCGGAGCTAGATGTGGTCACCTTTCTGATCTAACACCACAGGCGATGGCCAGGGATCATCCTCTCAATAGGACAGAAAAGAAAGAAGGAATCTTCCTAGGAAGAACCTAGACGATTTCTGGAATCATCCTTGACTTTGTTGTTCACAGTAGCAGCTTGCCAAGTGGGAGAATGAGGACCGTCAGATTGAGGGTATGAAGGCTATAACATAGAGTTGGAGGCCTTATTTCTGGGACATCCAGAAAATGCTAGTCATCATTAGCTCATTGGCTTGCTTTCTGATAGCTTTCTCTAGGCTAAGAAATTCGATGACTCATCCTAGGGCTTTTCTTTTTGTTCCCCTTTGTAATGCAATCGAAAAGAGATCAGAACCAAGTGAAAAAAGGTTTCATAAGCAAACATTATTGTGGAAATCAAGGGAGAGTGCCATTTTAGAAAAGATACAATAGTTTCCGATTCCCCCAAGCTTAGGGGTCAATTACGGGGGGTAACCGGTCGATCAACTCATTTTTTGTGTCTTTTGCAACATTAAGTTGAGTTATGGTGAAAAGTTTGAGTTTTTCTGCAATATTAAGTTGAGTTATGGTTAAAGTTTGTGTCTTTTGCAAAATACAGTTGAATTATGTTGAAAAGTTTGTGCCTTTTCCATCATTCAGTTGAGTTATGTCGATAATTTTGTGTCTTTTGTATCATTCAGTTGAATTATGTTGAAAAGTTTGTGTCTTTTTGCAACATTCAGTAGAATTGTGTTGAAAAGTTTATTGTCTTTTGCAACATCCAGTTATATTGTGTTGAAAAGTTTGTATCTTTTCAACCACCTCCTCAACCAGTAATCGATTTTCCTCTGCCAGTTCCTCCACCTGGAGCAGTACTTGAACCTTCTGAATACTATGCTCATGGCTATCAGTCCGTTCCAGGTACCCCTTTTGCTCTCATCTCAGAATTCATTCTGGATTGATTAATTTTCTTGAAATGATTCAATAATTTGATTTTGGGTGAAAAGTTTGTGTCTTTTTGCAATATTTAGTTGAATTGTGTTGAAAAGTTTGTCTTTTTGCAATATTAAGTTGAGTTATGGTGAGAAGTTTGTGTTTTATGCAATATTAAGTTGAGTTATGGTAAAAGTTTGTATCTTTTGCAATATTCAGTTGAATTATGTTGAAAAGTTTGTGCCTTTTGCATCATTCAGTTGAGTTATGTCGATAATTTTGTGTCTTTTGTATCATTCAGTTGAATTATGTTGAAAAGTTTGTGTCTTTTGCAACAGTCAGTAGAATTTTGTTGAAAAGTTTAGTGTCTTTTGCAACATCCAGTTATATTGTGTTGAAAAGTTTGTATCTTTTCAACCACCTCCTCAACCAGTAATCAGTTTTCCTCTGCCAGTTCCTCCACCTGGAGCAGTACTTGAACCTTCTGAATACTATGCTCGTGGCTATCAGTCCGTTCCAGGTACCCCTTTTGTTCTCATCTCAGAATTCATTCTGGATTGATTAATTTTCTTGAAATGATTCAATAATTTGATTTTGGGTGAAAAGTTTGTGTCTTTTTGCAATATTTAGTTGAATTGTGTTGAAAAGTTTGTCTTTTGCAATATTAAGTTGAGTTATGATAAAAGTTTGTGTTTGCAATATTCAGTTGAATTATGTTGAAAAGTTTGTGCCTTTTGCATCATTCAGTTGAGTTATGTCGAAAAGTTTGTGTCTTTTGTATCATTCAGTTTGAATTATGTTGAAAAGTTTGTGTCTTTTGCAACATTCAGTAGAATTGTGATGAAAAGTTTATAGTCTTTTGCAACATCCAGTTATATTGTGTTGAAAAGTTTGTGTCTTTTACAACATTCAGTTGAATTGTGTTACACAGTTTGTGTCTTTTTCAACATTCAGTTGAATTATGTCAAAAAGTTTGTGTCTTTTGTATCATTCAGTTTGAATTATGTTGAAAAGTTTGTGTCTTTTGCAACATTCAGTAGAATTGTGATGAAAGTTTATAGTCTTTTGCAACATTCCTTTTAATTATGTTGCAAAGCTTGTCTCTTTTGCAACATTCAGTTGAATTATTGAAAAGTTGTGTCTTTTGCAACATCCCATTGAATTGTGTCGAAACGCTTGTCTTTTGTGACATTCAGTTGAACTATGTCATTAACTATATAAATCAGTAAGCTGTCTTTCTTAGATTTAGTTGCAAGATTATTGATTTTTTATGACTTGCAAATTTCAGAATTCTACTGGATAAGATTAGGGACACTCTTAGTGTACTGCTTCACGTTTGTGGATTCTTTGCTTACATTTGTTTTCTGTCTTCCATATTTAGTAAATACAATGGTGGATCGAGGATCTAAACTTGATCGGTTCAAAATTTACGTTCTCACCATTATATGCAATGCACCTTATCATTTATGGGTTGAGATTTTAGTATTTGTTAAAACTTAAGTAATTTTTTCACTTACATAGAAAGTGCTGGTTGGGTTGAAGCTGTTTCTACATTATATATGCCTCTGAATAACTAAGTACAATTGCCTCCCTATGTTACTGTTAATTTTGTTATCTTCTGTTCGTAAAAATGTTACTGATGAACTGTTACAGTGCAACATATAAAGAGGTTTTGTTTCTGGGATTGTATTTGATCTGTTTGGATGTTCACTGAGCTCTGAAATTTGGGTCATAAACTGTTATTCGTTTTATAGAACTGTTTGCAATTTTAAATTTATTGGCTCATTTCTTTGTATTTTAGGTTATGTGGTTGATGAGAGGAGACCTGTGACAGAGCCCCGCCTTCCTTTTGGTATTGGTCTTGGCTGGTTCTTGTAAGTTCCCTAGTTTCCTTTACACTCGTAGACTAATGCCATCGTGTCCCAAGTCCATTTTCCACATGTTTAGGCTTAAACTCAACAAAATTCATTTTTGGTAACACTAGTTTTTAGTCTATGTCATGAGCTCTTTTCCACTCATTCTGTTTATTTTTTTGTTGTGTTTTTTATCTGTTTCCGGGGTAGGTAGATATGTATTGCCACTTTAGAGGAGTCAATGACGTTAATAACCAAAAGCCGAAGAAATGAAAGAAATGTTCTGTTTGCTCTTTGAGAGATGTAATGCTGGACAATTTTTCTTCTTGATCTTTCATATTCCCCTCTTGAATAACATGTTTCAGGGGAGCATTAGGTGCAGTTTGAACTTCCACGCTAATTGTATGTGGCTCGAAATTATCTAGTGGTGAAAGGCTACTATGAGGGTTGAACAAACTCCTCTGCATTCGGTGTCTCCTTTTCGTCTATTTTCTTAAAAGCCTCACTTATCAACATCGAACTTGAATCCCATCATTCATCAGCAAAACAAATTAAGACAAAGAGGCTGAAGGCGCAAGCAAATTATTACTTTTTTATGTATAAATATTATAGATGATGAACCCCTTGTGAAAATACTGACTCCACCACTAGTACAGTAGTACCCTCTATACATATATGGCACATTTAATCCTGCAGTTTGATCTTATGAATATAAAGATACAATGAAGTGATTTGGGGTTTTATTTTTTGAAGGTTCATTATTGGTTTCTTTCTTGCTGGCTTCCCTTGGTATGTTGCTGCATTTATCCCGCTTTGCAACAGATCAATTGATCATCGAGAGAAATCAGGATACGTTGCATGCACCATTGCTGTAAGTGATCTCTTTCATTCTTTTCTGGTGATGTTCTCAACTGCATGAGAACGAAAAATCAAGTGTGTTTTCACATTTGATTCATTTAAGAATTTTGTTAATGAAATGGCACTCAACTAGTATAGCGCGATAGATATATGTTCTTCGTAGCTTAATGGCTCCATCAAACACTGTTGCATGTTGCAGGCTGTTCTTGCTGTAATTGGTAATATCATATTTGGCTTGACATGGATATTATTAACAGAATAATGGTGATCAACATCTGTGGAGTATTCGTGTTCTAGCTAGTTGGCTTGATTAATCCACATTTATTCAGAACATTTCTGTAAAACAAAAGTTACATGTTTTAATTAGATATATATATGTGCTTCCTGTATTATGATGAAATCATTCAATACTATTCTTGTTTGTCTTAAGATTTGGTTATGACTTATGAGAGTGACTCCTTTAAACATGGCACAAAAGTTTCTGTCTAACTCTCAACGTCCATCTTTACTTGTCTATAATACTCCTAAAAGTACGTAGTTGTACAACTTTACTTGTCTAGTTTAAAAAATCAAGAAATAATTTACCATTTTGCGTCTATGTTACCTTTGTTATTAAATACTATCCATTCTCCAACATGAAGAAAACTAAGAGCCCGTTTGGATTGGCTTTAAAATGTAGCTTTTAAGTCATAAATAAAAAGTCAAACTGAAATGACTTTTAAGTCAAAAAATAAAAAGTAGGGGGAAACTTACTTTTGGTTTTTGACTTATTTTAAGTCGTTTTTTACCTTGTCAAACACTTCCCAACTTATTTTAAGTTATTTTTGACTTATTTTAAATTATTTTCATATTTGTCAAACACTTCCAGAAGTCAAAAACTGATTTAAAAGTAGGTTTGATCAACTTTTAAGCCAATCCAAACACCCTCTAACTAGTTAGTACAAATTGTAAGATTTTAAATTACCATTCTACTCGTGACAACAAATAGCTGAGGTTTTTTCCTTTCTTGTTTGGGCATAACTTATAATATTATAATATGAAAATACAACTTAAACTCCACGAAAAAGTTATTTATTACGAAGGGCAAATAAATAAAAACTAGCATGAGAATTAAAGTGCAAATGACACTTGAGTGCATATATGATAGATCATGTATGTTACACGCAATAAGGGATTACATATCTTTTCTCAAAAAATTATGTAGTGTACAGATATTACATATTAGTTATTATGAATTTAATTTTAAAACATTTTCTATAAAATTTCTGGCACGATCACTGCACAAATGTCATGAAAACAATGTTGTAATTTATATAATTAACTTCATTGAATGTGTTAGAAGATACCTAGACAGTAGACATAACTATTGAATCTTTCTATAGTTTCAATACGAGGAGGCATCCTTAAAAAGCACATATATCTAGAACCCAAAAAAACATCAAGTGGTGTTCTAAAACCATATACTAATATATAAATAAAGAAATCATATTATCGATCACCTCACCTTATATTATAAATTTAAATCATGTACCCATCCTCCTCGGTAGTTTTTACTTTTCGAGATTCAAATTATGTAAACTCTAATCAATATTTTAAAAATATATTTTAATCATCATATTGACTTGAGAAGAATTATAACTTGTAGTACTTTCCGTATAGTTCTTTAATAGTATAATCTAATTTAATTTTAAAGACTAATCAACTCGACTCTCGAAAAAAGAAAAGTGTCATTGATGAGGGAGTGCTATTCCACATTGTTATGGTCCAACTAATAACCCCCTACTATAGTCTATAACAATTGTGTTATTTCAAACCTTCTTTCAACAAATTATTATAAAATCACGATTTTTAGACTCTAGATATATATAAAATTTTATTACATTAGGTGTAGTAAAATTATATACGAATTAATGGTCCCCAACCTATAGGTTATAGGCATAACATGATGATAATTAAGTGAAAGCATATTCCAAATAAAATTGTATAGCTGTGAAATAATAATTGCGATGGTAATAATATATTTTTTAGGAATAGGATGCTAAACGTTAAAATTTAGGTAAAGAATAATATATATCCTATATATTTACAAATGAAAAAGGGATCCCTTTTTTCTTTGCTTTAATTTCCATTGTCCCTATTTTGTGGTCAAAATTAAAAGAAATTAATGAGTATAATAATTCCATGTTTAATCAATAGGTGACAAACTTCTATATAGAGAGATAGAAATAATATATGTTATGTACTCATATATTCTTTAAAATGAAGAAATAACAACATTAAAGAGATATCTAACTTGCTCTCTTTTTTATTTTTGGTTGGTGTGGTTATAAGTTGTTGTCGATTTATTTTTTCATTAATAACTGAAAATGAAAAGTAGTTTATTTAAATTTAATCGAAATATATATGTGAAAATAAAATTTTATTCTCTCGAATGTCCAACACATGAATTTGTTTTTGTATTATTAGTTCTTCTTGATGAATGTACACATTGATATATTGAACTTGTGATTGAAAAATTAAAAATGAAAGAAATTATCTCAAGAGCTTTGTTTTTTTATACATTTTGAAGTTATTTTTTCAAGATCAAGGGGTCAAAGTAAAATTGTAAAAATTTGTCACTTTTAAGTGTAATTCAATCTCAAAAATTAGTTTAATAGGTAAGGGTTGTCAATGTTATATTAAAAAGATCACCCGATGTGAGATTCTTCACAAATTTTTTACGCGCGCAGGGCTGGACATTTGATGCGCGAACAATTTAATATGGGCCTAACATTGAAAATGAGAATCGAAATGAGTCCGGCTTTGATACCATGTAAAGATATGGACACATGAGTCTAACTCAACCTCAAAATCTAGTTCAAGAAGTGAGAAATGTCAAGACTATATTAAAGTGATCACCTGTCAGATCTCTTCAAGGGTCGATGTGTGGGACTCTTCACAAGCCCCTCATGCTCAAGGCTTGACATATGGTGCGTGAGTACGTGAATAAGAGCTATGATACCATATAAAGATATATCACTTATGCTTAACTCAATCCTAAAAACAATCTCAAAAAATAAAGACTACACATATCATATTAAAAAGACCGCTCATCCCTCGAAGGGCCATATAAATGTCACAAGAGACCACATGGTGAACCCATATAAAAGAAAGTCAACCTAATAAAAATGACATGACTCATGAGTATAAGGGGATCACATTCTTATTGTAAAATCGACCTTTCTGTTCTTCAATAGTCTCTTCTCCTCATTGGATAATTTTCTAAGATATAATTAGTCATGTATTTTGACTTATTTTAAGTAGCGTTATAAATTATATGTATAATTATTTTTTAAATGATCTTTACAGTGTATGCAACGAAATTTAATTCATAACAAGTCAACTTATTAAAATAATTGTAAAATCATTTGTAATGCCTCTCAACTACCAGCAGATCTAAACTAATATAGAAAAAATTCAAGAATAAATTAATTAAACGCATGTGGAAGATTTGCAATTTGTAATGTGATGTTTAAAAAAAAAAAATTAAACTCATCAACTTGAACTCGTAATTGAAAGACAATCATGCAAATTAATTAATAGTTGATTGAAAACCCAGGAAATTAATGAAGAATTATTCAATTTAAGTAGGAAAAATTATTAGAAAAAAAAGTAACTAGGCTACAAAAAACAGTGCGATGTAAAACTACTAGTACTACTACTATAATATTGTGGATTTGTGGTACCAAGCTCCTCTAAAAAAGATTATTATATTTCTATATCGTTGAATTGTTTAATCTTATCAGGTTCATTTTTTGCTTAATGAAATGACTAATTACCTTCATATAAAATTAAAATTCATATTTTCTAATAAAATATTTACATGATTTACTACTACTCGTTTAAATGTCGATAGATTGAATATTTTATTTTAAGATTTTTCTTTTTATAAATTTGATGTCCGATCAAATATCGTTATATAAAATGGGATTGATGAAGCATTATTATAATCGTAGAGATGCAAAATGTAATTAGAAGGGTTAAGATTAAGATAGTACTACTAAAGAAGATTAGGATTAATCAATCTTACCTATTACTTAATAACTACTAATATTAATTTTGTGATAAAGGGTTAGCTATAGTTATACAAATCATTAATTTTTCTAAATATTATAATTAGTGGTCCATAGAGTGAAAGAGATTCCCAGAATCACTACAGTGCAAGCTAGTAATAAAACAAGGCTAGCTAGCTAATACCTACACTATTAGGTGTTTGGTTCTCATGTTTAGTTGGTTAATTAAAATATGTTTTCTAAGAAAATAAACCTGTCGTGAATGAGGAAAACGATCTCCCTAATATAATTAAAGTAGAAAAATAAATTTTATAAGGGACAATTTAAGTTTGATCATTTTCTCCTTCTCACCCACCCTTTGAACATCCCAGTCCTGAACCCTCACTCTCACCCCATTCCGCTCACATAGTATATGCTAGATTGTATAAATACTTTTGGAATATTAATATTTTTTTGCTTACTTACCAAATACTAAAAACTAAATAAGAAATATACCTATTTAATTTCCAACAAAATATTTTTCATCAAAAACATTTTCCTTTATACCAAACACTAATTGAATTGCTTCCTCCTTTCTTATACACATGTTACTCCTCTTGTCGTGCAAATAAAGTCTCACATTGTAATTTTCGTATGTTGTTTTAGCTCTAACACCAATTGATTGATTAAAATAGTCGTCAGAGGCATATTCAAGATTTTGAAAAGATGGATGCACTATTACAAAATGGTGAATCTAAGATATAAGTTGAATCGGTTTGACCTTTAGGTTTTTAACATTGAATCTGTTAAATTTTTGAAATTATAAATCCAAAATTAATTTTAATTTATTCAAATAGTATATATATAGTTTCACGATTGATTATATGATATATCATCCAATACTACTAGTTTTAATATACATATTTGGTTTAATTATATAAAAAGTTTACATTGCTAACTTTTTTTAAAAGAATTACAAACATGATATACTTGAAAATTTTGAAAGATTAAAAGCAAATAAATAAATATATATCAATGAAAAAGTCAAAATGATATCAATAAACCACTAGGGTACTTGATTTTAGAAAGAAAAAAAAAGATAGATATAAGATTTAATTTCACACCTCAAGAGCTACACATTCAATTATCAACATCGCATTATATGATACTTTGAGTGTGAATTAATTCATACATCTATATTAACGTTTTTTTAAAAAGAAAATATAAGACTTATTTATAATCTCGGAGGGGGCAGGGTTCACGTAAACCCACGAATCCCTCCTCCCCAGGGCTGTCTTAACCCCTAGGCCACTAAAGTTATCGCTTGGGGCACCATATATTTTGGAGGCCCCATTTTTGAAAAACAATTACTTATATATGTTATTTTAAAAAAAAATTATATGTACTATGAGTGTTATGATTTCTACTAAGGAAACTGCATATGAGATGAAAATAAACTTGAATTTCGTATGAAACAATTTGATGAAAATATGGATAGTGAAATCACAAAGTCCCTTGAAGAATCTTTTAGAGTTGATTGCTTTATATATGTAGAGTAGATCAAACTATTTTTTCACTTCAAAATAGATTTGAACCAATTGAAGCATATGAAAATATTTTTGATTTCTTATTTAGTGGTAAAATATTGAGATCACTAGATGATGAAAATTTTAAAAATATTGTCTTAACCTTGAACTTTCTTTAACGCGTAATAGTTATTCTGATATTGATGGTTTAGATTTATTTTTTGAATTAAAAGTGTTAAGGGAAATAATACAAGTAGAAGATAATGATCTAATGAAAATACTCAATCAAATAAAAAGATTTGATTCTTTTCCAAATACACATATTGCTTATAGAATAATGTTAACAGTTCCTGTAACCGTTGCCTCAACCGAAAGAAGTTTTTTCGAAATTAAAACTCATTACATCTTCTTTAAGATCAACAATGTCTTAAGAGAGATCGAATGAATTAGCTATATTATCATTTGAAAAGGAATTAATAAAACAAATTGATTATAAAACAGTACTTAATGACTTCGCATCTAAAATAGCTATAAAAGTAGATTTTAAATAAAAATATATATGATGAAAAAAACAAATTATTAGGGCCCCTCTCTTAAGTTTCGCTTTAGGCCCCCAATGTTGTTGAGTCGGCCCTGCCCCTCCCCCTAGATACGCCCCTAAAAATAGTCTAAAAATACTCTTAACATGGTTCTGTTCTAATTTTGAATTTCTAGTAAGAAATTCTTTGAATATGTACAAATTATAATTTAGAATCCAATAACTTAAAAGAAATAGAATCTCACCTTATCTTAGCTTCTATTTCTTTTCAAATATCAATATGAGACTTCGTTTACACATCCAAAGATTTTTCTATATAACATGGCTGATAAATGGCACATAAACTCATCCTCTCCTTCTCAATTAGTAACCTTTTCCCTTCCATTGCTCTTCATAAAGAAAATGGTTGTACTAATCTTGTTTTTAGCTTTGTTAGTGATCATGATATGGGTGTGGAGAATGGTGAATTGGATGTGGATTAGACCAAGAAAAATAGAAAAGTGCTTTAGGAAACAAGGATTGAATGGACATCCTTATAGAACATTATATGGAGACACAAAGGAGATGGCTAAGTTGACTAAACAAGCAAAACTTAAACCAATGAAGCTCACTGATGACATTCTCACTAGAGTCCTCCCTTTCTATCATTATACTCTCAATAAGTATGGTAAGATCCATCCCTCTTTTATTTTTTTCCTTTTGATTTTTTTTTCTCTTTGCCTAGCTAGATTTACATAATCGTGGTGTCCGGGTCAACTTCCATACACTTTAACTAATTATTACACGGGTATATACCTTTCTATATATCACCAGCACAAGGTACGTACTGTCGTATCAAGTAACTTTGTTCACCAAAATTTGAATAGATAAAATAAATCACCTAGAAATTGTACACAAGAGACTTGTGATTCTCGACTTCATGATTCTCAACACTAGTTAGAGGTAAATCCATAATTGATTGCATGATAAAAATGGTAACTAACCTAGTATAATAACATATTGTAACATGTTATACTACAGTGAAAAAGAAATCTTTGTATTTACACTCTCAATGTATATATTAAAATACTTATGTATAAATCCTTTATTTTAGAAAAAAATAAGAAAGTGAAAATCATATATATCAAGATTCAAATGGGATGTATGTTATGATTAAGGTGATTCTTACAATTAGTACCAACTTGAGCATGGAAAATGATCAATTTGTGTGCATCATTAAGCTCAAGATAGCTGGTTGGCTAATATGCAAAAAAAATTATACCAAATATGAAGCTAGAAAAAAAACAAAGGACCAACTTGTTGTAAAATATATTTAGAGATCTATATTAATTGCAGAATATTTATTTTCTTTCTACTCTAAAATATTCTATGATAATTGCAGAATATTTACTTTCTTTTCAAGTTTAAGATCTATATTACATTAATTCTACAATATTTATTTTCTTTTTAATTAGCATCAATAAGAAATTGAAAAATAACTATTTTTTTTTATGTTTTACCCTTTTATTACCTAATAAATGCACTCTATTATTTTTTAATTAACGCGATGAATTACTATCATTTATTCTTTTAGCATGTTATAATAATTAGCTTATTATACCACCAAAGAATATGGTGTAGTGGATGAGGTTGCTCCTTCTTTAACCAGAATTCTCGAGTAGTGTTGGGTATGAAAAAATCCTTCGCAGAAAGCGCTTCTATGCAACACGAATAGTGATAATAATTTTATTTGCTCGAGAAAAAAACATGTATAAATTAGAGGGAGAATTAAATAATAATTGTGTAATGAAAATACGGAACTTTCTGGAGTATAGCTTATTATCAATTTTATTTTTTTGGAATATATAATTTGTTATTTGTGCGTGTTTCCCGGTAGGAAATGAGATCTTTTAATTTTTATATATATGTGGTCCAATAATTACATCCAATCATTGATCATCTTTGTTTGTGGTCCATTTTATTTGTGTTTTTTAAATAGTTAGGGTTCAAACTCATGATCGTTTTTTGACGTATGCCACAAGATTATTCGAATTTACAGATGTCCTTGCTTATTCTTTTTTTTTAATTAAGATCCGTAAAATGTCTGACTTGTGGTTTTTTTAAACTTCGAATTTAAGTTTTATGTACTGACATTGAAATATCTTTTATTAATTAAATATAGTTTTATTTGACTTGTTATTTGCAAAATTAGAATTGCTTAAATTTTATCCTCATAAAAAAAATACAAAAATAGATTGAACCTTTGGAACTACCATGCATGCACAAGATGCCCACACTGAAAAATATTTTATTTTCTAAAAAATTAAAATGAAGAAAATAAAGGACTAAAATATATTTGTAAACTAGAAGAAGAGAAAGTAGTTATTACTCCTGTATAATAACTATATGTAATAAAGGTATACTTTGTCTTAAATTTTAATAGTGTATGATTTAGTGATCAATGAGGTATGATAAGAAATATAAGGTCTCAGATTTAATCTTTTATAGTGACAAAAAATATTAGTAGGTGATTTTTTTTGGTCGGTATTTGTGTTGATAGAAGATAGATATTTTATGAAATTTATTATATAAGCTGATTCAAACCAATAAAGTGATGATTAAGGAGAAGATGTCAGCACCAAATTTAGGATGTAAGAGAAATAGTTCAAGGCTCTTTTCTACTAATTTTAGTTATGAATAGCAAGTTGAATTACATATTTTGCATCCAAACTTTCCTCTCATGTGATCATAATTAGCTCTACATTATTTGATCATAGTCAATTTATAATCTAATTTTGAATTGTCAACCTTTAAGAAAAACAAAAAAAATGCTAGAATTATGTTTATTCATTAATTAAGTAGCACTAATATTGTTAAAGTGGATCAATTTAAATCTTCTTAATGAAAATTCTGACTTCGTTACTGCAGGTAACAATTGCTTCACATGGATAGGTCCAGAGCCTAGAATTTTCGTAATGGAACCAGAATTAATAAAGGAAATAGTAATGAACAACAACATTTTCAAAAAACCAAAACCAACTCCATTGGTACAACTTCTTGTGAGTGGCATCTCAAGTTATGAGGACCAGAAATGGGCCAAGCACAGGAAAATTCTTAACACTGCATTCTACGCCGAGAAGTTGAAGGTAAAGGGTATTAGTTGTTGGTCAAAATTCAAGTAAAATTAATTTAAATAAATAAATAACAATAGTCAAGTTGAAAAGTGAATATTTCGCTCGCTTTTAAAGAGATTCTAGTAAAATTTTCACTAATTCAACTAGCAGTAATAATCTCATGCCTTGTCTCCTCGATCCAAGCAGATATAACCGTTTGACTCAAAAATACTTTTAGATTAATTGTTGAGTCCAAAACTTCACCACTAAAAACACATTCATTCAACAAAATAACACTCTCTTTAATAATAATTCTCTTCTTTCATTGAATAAATAACATGGTAATAGATTAATAAATTAATAAGAACATGTGATAATGATAGTGGATAAATAATGTAGTAAATTATGGATGAAGAATGATAAGAAATACGACAACTTTAGATCATTCTTGAATAGTGCTTTAGAAAAAAAATTATGGCCATTATCTTATATTTATAGCCACTAAAATAATATATATAAAGTAATATAATACTATTAACTATTTTAATATTAAAATATTTACTATGTATTTACTGATTTAAATCTTGATTCTGTCTTCATAGTACATTTCGATTGGAATAAATCTTAGTAACATTTTATTAAATGAAGTAATATAATACTATGCACACTTCTCTACTACGTATTTAATGATTTAAATCTTAAATCTGTCTGTATCGTATGTTTCGATTGGAATAAATTTTATAACATTTTTTTTCCTCTTGAAATTGTATAGTGTATGGTGCCAGCAATGCACAAAAGTTGTGAGGATATGATGAACAAGTGGGAAATTCTAATTTGCAATAAAAATAAATCATGTGAATTGGATGTACATCCATATTTTGAAGATTTAACAAGTGATGTGATTTCAAGAACAGCATTTGGAAGTAGCTATCAAGAAGGGATGAAAATCTTTCAACTTCAAAAAGAATTAGCTGAACTCACACGTCAAGCTTTCCAATCTGTTTATATTCCTGGATGGAGGTACAAAATTAGTATATATTAATGGTGTAAATAATTTTTATACTAATAATAATATATGCATGTTAATTACCTGTTTTATCACCCTATCACGTCACTCAGAGGATATCTACAAGTAAGTCTACGATTTGTAATCTTGAGAATAAGATAGATTATCTATTATATGAAATATAGGTAAGGATGATCATCAGATAGTTTAAAATTTCTTTGTATGCATAAACGATATATATAGCTTAAACTCTTGTACGTATATCCAAAGGTGTGTGGCTTAGTGGTCTTAGGTTTAAATCCCAGTAGAAACAAAAGCACTTGGTGATTTAATTTCATCATGTCTATTTAGGCGCTAATGGATAGAGTTATCTAATATTTGTGTGTCTAAACTTTAATAGCTTGAAAGATAACTCAAGTAAAAGACAGTTTTTTTTGTTGTTTTTTCCATCTGGTGTTCAGTATCCACATTGGAGTCCGATTCCATCCGGATTCACGTTGGAATTAAAGTCTCACATTGGGGTAAAGTGCTCTCTAACAAAGGAGACTTCAGACCTCTGGTTAAGGGTGAATGAGTATTTACCACTCCACCACAACCCTTGTTAGTCATGTAAAAAACAGTTAATATATTACAACAAGTTTCTCAATTTATCCAACGCAAAATGGTGAAAAAACATATCTAGGAGGGATCGTGTCTTTCAAGTTGCACATTATTTGTTATGAAATGGTGAATAGTCATTGGTTGAGCTAATGTATATGACATGGTCTGTTACATGTAGTTATATTTTAGATGACCTGATTGTCAGTATTATATATAAGTTATTGTGATAATTTCAACAGGTTTTTACCAACAAGAAGAAATAGAAGAATGAAAGGCATTGACAATGAACTCAAACATACATTAAGGAAGATTGTCAACAAAAGAGACAGATCCATGAATTTGGGAGAAACTCAAGAGGATTTGTTAGGCATTTTATTAAAGTCCAATATGAAGGAAATTCAACAAAATGGGAGCAAATTTGGTATGACAACTGATGAAGTAATAGAAGAATGCAAAGTTTTTTATTTTGCTGGCCAAGAGACCTCTTCAAATTTATTAGTTTGGACTATGGTTTTATTAAGTGTGCACCAAAATTGGCAAACTAGAGCTAGAGAAGAAGTTCAACAAGTCTTCCACAACAATAATCCAGATTTTGAAGGGTTAAATCGTCTCAAAATTGTGAGTATAACAATAAGCCTTAGAGCTTTTATTTCTATCTTTAATTCCTTTTATATACTCTATTCGTTTCAATTTGTTTGTTCTATTTTAACTTGATATAGAGTTTAAGAAAGTAAGGAATACTTGTGAATCTTGTCGTCTTAAATTAAAGATATGTCAAACATACCAAAATACTCTTTAATCTTGTGGTCTTAAACATGTCATGTGAAATTTTGAAATTAAAGAATTGTCAAAAAAAGATAAAGACACTCTTTTTGAAACCGACTAATAAGAAAAATAGGACAATCAATTTGAAACGAATATCTCTTTCTGAGGTTAGGAGTGGTTGAAGAATAAGTAAGATCAAGATTTACACATGTGATTTAGTTTGACTATACACGAAATTTAAGAAATATGAAAAAACTCAAAATTGTCCTTAAATTAATGATTTTTTAAAAATAGAATAGTACACAAACTTTTTGTCAAATAAGCATGACCCAACATGAGTAAAATATTGATAATGTCATCCCTTAACTATTTACCAAATATGAAAATGTGTCGTTTCTTGGAGACCAACTAAAGTATCACATAAATTAGGACAGATGGACAAAAGTTTATAGCCAAATTTGAACATGTACAATTGAAATCTAACATTTGCTTCAATTGTTTTTATTAATATAAACAGGTTACTATGATTCTGAATGAGGTACTAAGGTTATATCCACCAGCACCATATTTCCTAAGAAAAGCAAATCAAGAAACAAAGCTAGGAAAAATGAATATTCCACCTGAAGTAATCTTGATGATACCAACAATATTTATTCATCATAATGAAGAATTATGGGGTGATGATGTTAAAGAATTCAAGCCAGATAGATTTTTTCAAGGAATTGCAAAAGCAACAAAGGATAAACTTTGTTTTTTACCTTTTAGTTGGGGTCCTCGTATTTGCATTGGCAATAATTTTGCTATGATGGAAACAAAGATTGCCTTAGCTATGATCCTTCAACGTTTTGAATTTGAGCTTTCTCCATCTTATACTCATGCACCTACTTATGTGGTTACTCTTCAACCTCAATGTGGTGCTCACTTAATCTTGAAAAAGTTATAGGCAACATTGTTCGGATTCTTCAAGAAATGTATTACTTTTCGAGGATCAGTTTTATCCATGTGATTACTCTTCAACCTCAATGTGGTGCTCACTTAATCTTGAAAAAATTATAGGCAACATTATTCGGATTCTTCAGAAATGTATTACTTTTCAAGGATCAACTTTACGTACTTATTTTGAAGAGATTGAACAACATGTGTTATAGGTCATGTATTATTCTGGATTTGTTATTATGAGTCATGGAAGTAGTCATGTTTGCATTATTGTAGGTTGTTTATATTATAAACTTTGTGTGCCTAACAGATCCTCCATCTTTCATGTTGTTAACTTCTTTCTTTGTCCTTTATTTGGGCTTTTTGTTATCCATTTAGAATTGTGGTACTTTCTTATTTGTCATGCTAGCGTATACTTTGTGTTCAATGAATAGGAATGGCTTGAATAGAGCACATGAACAATAATAATTTATTAGCCACAAGTGATAAGTTAAAAGTTTCAAAATCAACCAATAAAACATCAGCAATTTTCATTTTTCTAAAATCAAACAGTTCAAATTTTAACTTAAATTTGTGCATGAAATCTTCAATTTTTTTGAAATAAAATTTATATATTTATAAACATAAAAAGTATTACAAGTCACAACAATTGATATTTCAAAATATTTAAAAAATCTATGAAAAATTTACGATCAAAGTTAGATTTATTTAAATTTCAAAATCTAAAAAATGTCACATAAAATGAAACGGAGGAAGTAATTAAGAAAATTGGACGGCGTGTAATTAAGAATTTGGGTTGATTAGTCAACCATTAGAAAACTTTGAATACAAATCCTTCCTTGTTTGTTTGGTTTATTAAGAACATTTTTCTAGAAATCAGAAAAACCAAACTTTTACGATTGGCTAAGCTCATAAACGTAAAAATACTTTAAAACACATTGAGAAGATTTCTATATTATTACTTATAAATGGCCACAAGTTTTTATTTCATATTTGGTAGCTTCAAATTAACAAAAACAGTCTAATTAGAAGAGTTTAGTTAATATTTATGCAGCCAAAACAAAAAATTAGAGTGAAACAGTTAACAGATTATCGAAATATTGATTTTAATAAAATTTAATTACTTCTGATTAACCTAATCTGATTAGGCACTAAGAACTTCCCAATTGACTGTTTAAAATCTAAAGGTAAAATGTAGGGCAGAATCCGTGAACTAAAACACGATGAAGATTAAGCACGATGAAGGAATGTGCAGAACCTTGAGACTGCCCTAATATGCATATAGGCCGGGTGAAATTGAATTCCCACACATAAGAAGGAACTCATTTGGATCGGCCGTAGTAAAAAAAAACAAATGAATTGAAAAAAAATACAAGGAAATGTGAGACCTTTCTCTACAGAAGCAATTGATGGAGTACAATTGCAGAGATGAAGAAAGGACTGATGATCAGTATATGCCCGCAACGGAACTAGAGCGCCATTGTTTCATAAGCTCGCTCTGATCTCTCATAGGCAATGTTCTAAACCCTAGCTTCCACGCTCGCTTATATAGAGTTTTATTTGTTGGGTTGGGCCTTATAATTCAGCCCATAACATAACCAAGAGGTTATGTTTTTGGAATTTGAACTACTCTACAAAATCGAATCGAAAATCAAACCAAATCGCAAATCGAGTCAAATCGAAAAAAAAACCCAACTAGTGATTTGGTATTGGGAAAAAAAACCTGACTATATTTGGGTTGGGTTGGTTTCAACTAAAATAAACCTACCCGAGACCAAACCAACCCGACATTATATATATAATTTTAAAATTTTATTTTATACGTAAAAATATTTACTTTGATATAATTTTTAAATATTTCTTATATTTTTTCATAGTTTTTATCTTTTAATATATTATTTCAAGTTTAAAACTTGTAATTCGGAATGGTCCAATAAAGATTATTGTTCATATATGTTGATAATTATAATAAAACTTAAATCAAAATCAAATTAATACTAATG